AGACCCCTGTGCCAGGCCAGGAGCACTCGCAGCCTCAGGGGGCGGTGCACCGGCGAGGCCAGGTCGTCCCGGATCCGAGGGCCGCGCCCTCCCCCCGGGCTCTGCACAGAGAATGGACCCAGCTGTCGAGGTTCAGCGGTATCCCCCGGACCTGGCGAGGCAGCGTGTAGTGGAGGGGCGATGAGGACACTGGGCACCGTGGCTTTGCTTGTGCATAGAGTCCCCTGTCTGGTTAGAGGTGACAGTGAGCACTCAGATTGGAGGTAAGCCAGTCAAGATGGTCGCCTGATTTCAGACCCAGGCACAGTACAGGGAGGCCCGAGCCCCTTCAGCCCACCGTGACTGGATCCTAAGGCCTGCCTCTTCCCATGGCTCCCATGGCCATGGAAGGAAGGGTATGGAACCCACACAGGGAAGTGCAGGGTGACCCCCTTTCCTCACTGGCCTGATCTCCACCCCCTTGTTCTCGGCATTGTGGTGTTCTGGACTCCTAGGAGCTACTCTTCTAGTTCTTTGTTGTAGAGTCCTGAAGAAACTCCAAGCCTAAGACGCTAAATCCATGCCATGGGCTTAGGTGGAGGTGCTCCCACTTAGAGCAGCCAGTGCAAACAGTTATGGAAGGTTGTTCCCAGAACTGGTACCAGTGTATGGAAATGCTTGGAACTAAAACTAAGCTGGGAATATTTAGGAAACCATGAGTCTCTTTTATACGAGAACAGAGAGCTGGGGCATTGGGATTGCAATGGCTGCTTGAGAAGTTGGGTGTCCCTTCAGAAGATGGTGGGAAATTTGGATTAGAAAAGGGAGGTGGCTTTACCATGGTCTTAACAGTCTCCATTGGTCTGCGGAGCAACAAATGGACTGAGCAACAAATGAAACTGAAGAAGGAAGATCAGGGCTCAGGGTATTGACATAGCCCAGGAGAGAGTTAATGGGCCAATGTTGTGCCTTAGGAGATGTGATTGAGACCTATATGACCTTGAGTATTTTAGGGGCATAATTTTAGGGGTGGGAGGGCATACATCTTTCTGTGCCAAATCCCTAGGTTAGTTATCTGTTTGTCCCCATTCCTGTTGCTGATGACTTGTACCTGGTGACCAGTGAACCCTTGGCAGGACCATGACAATAAGGCTGATTTCTTGTCTCAGCTGAGGAGCTTGGGAAGAATATGGGGCAAATACCTAGGCGAATGCATTGTTTTCCTTCAGGAGAGGAATTATTTGTGCTTTGATCTATCTCCATCGTGCCAGGGAAGCGTGACTTTTGATGACGTGGCCGTACACTTCTCCTGGGATGAATGGCATCTCCTTGATGAGGCTCAAAGATGCCTGTACCATGACGTGATGATGGACAACTTGGCACTTATCACCTCCCTGGGTAAGGTCTTCTCACTCACCCATGTACTCTGAGTTAATCTGTGGTCTTCCCCTTCCCAGGGTTAAATCTGTCCTAGTAACTTGACCATGGGCTCTGCTCTCCTCGCCTTTCAGTTTCCTGGGTTGGTGCTGTGGTCAGTGGGACTGAGGTGTGCATACTGCCTTCTCTCCTTTAACAGCCCCAAACCCTGCTTCCCTGCAGCCTAGCAGGGAAGGATTCAACACCAGTAGTCTTAGAGTCACCTTGGGGTATCCCACCTTCCTTGCTTTCTCTGAAGGGTTGTCTCTGTCCACGCCCAAGGTCCCAGGTGTCCTAAGTTCTGCTTCCTTTCACTGACCTTTCCTAATGCTTACCTGTATCATTGGTTAACCGTCACCAACATGTTCACACTAAGGTGGACCTGGACTCTTTTTGCATCTCCTTCCTCAGAAGTTTTCTTTGTGATATTTGAAGTTTTGTTTTCCTGGGCTGTCATGTGATGGGTTAATGCTTGTCTCCGGTCTTTCCTTTCCCTTAGTACTTGCATCACCTGGGTGCCGTGTACTGTGTATCTTGAAAGTAGGGAAGATAGCTAGTGATTCACAGGATAGCTATGAATCCAGCAACAGCAAACGGGCTGAGAGGGAACCTGGTCCCGGGTAAGAGAAGACATGAAGGCTGTGTTCAAATTGCAGCAGGTGTGTATTCAGGTTGACTAGTGTATTGGTGTCAGTTCAGGGGCTGTAGCTCATTCACTTCCTTTATCTGTTCTTGACAGTTTCCCATTTTGTGAACTGTACCGATTGCCCATTCTAATTTTGCATTTATCCCTGGCTTTAGTCCTTATATCTCTTGACTCCATGTCCCTTCACCTTTACTCAGTGATTCACATGCAGTATCTCCAACCTGGCCTGTTTATATTGCGTGAAGGCCAGCTGATTTTTTTTTTTTTTTTGTACCAGGAATTGAACTCTGGACCTTGCACTTAGGAGACAGGTGGTGGAACCCCTGAGCTAAATCCCCAGCCCAAAGGCCAGCTGATTTATTAAAGTTGTGATTTCTTGGGCCTGGACACACCTTTCCACTTAGTACTCATGTTACCAGCTGACAAATTTCTCCCCAAAATTGCTTCTGTGGATTGAATTTTAAACCCTATGTCTCCTTTCTGTGTTGAATCACAAAGGTGTATCCCTTACCTCATGGCTCTCCCTCATCCTGTTATCTTTATAGCCTGGTATTGCCAAGCAACCTGAATCCATTCTCATCCTGCCAGTAATCCCATGGAATTTTCCTGGGATTTTCACACGTAGTCCTAAGGGGCTGCTCCCTCTCACCAAAGTTAGCACTTCACCAGCATTTCTTTTCCTTAGGTTGTTGGCTTGGAGTGGAGGATGTGGCAGCATCTTCTGAGCAGAGTGCTTCTTCAGATGGAATGTCCCACGTGAGGACTCCTAGGGCAGGTCTGTCTCCCCAAAAGGCTCAGCCCTGTGTGCTGTGTGTAGACATCATGCACATGACTCATCACCAGCACGGAACACATTCTGATCAGAAACTGTACAGATATGGGGCATGTGGAAACCAGTTTTGTTTCATCGCAGACACTCATCAGCATGAAAAGCTGCAGTTTGGCCAGAAATGCTTCAGAAGCAATGGGGGCAGGTCCTTGTTTGTGAACCGGTCCAAATCCCATGTGTCGTGGGAGCACTTTACCTGCAGGAGAGTGGCAAAGGACTTCCTATCCAGCTCAGAATTTCTTCATGAACAGGCCATGTGCACTAAGGAGCAGTCAAATAGCAAAAGTAATTGTGGGGCTGTCTGTCACAGTGGAAAAACTCAATATGAGCAGCTGCAAGCCCCTAGTAGAGAACGCTGTTACATCTGTCATCAGTGTGGGAAATCTTTTAGTAAAAGCTACAGCCTCAATGATCATTGGAGAGTTCACACTGGTGAAAAGCCTTATGAGTGTGGGGAATGTGGGAAATCCTTCAGGCAGAGCTCTAGCCTCATTCAGCACCGGAGAGTTCACACTGGAGTGCGACCTCATGAATGTGAGGAATGTGGCAAATTATTTAGCAACAAGTCCAACCTCATTAAACATCGGAGAATTCACACTGGAGAAAGGCCTTACGAGTGCAGTGAATGTGGGAAATCCTTTAGTGAGAGCTCTGCACTTCTTCAACACCAGAGTGTTCACACTGGAGAAAGGCCTTATGAGTGCAGTGAGTGTGGGAAATTCTTTACTTATCATTCCAGTCTCATAAAGCACCAGAAAGTTCATCGTGGATCAAGGCCTTACGAGTGCAGTGAATGTGGGAAATCATTTAGCCAAAACTCCAGCCTCACTGAACATAGGAGAGTTCACACTGGAGAAAGGCCTTTTAAGTGCAGTGAATGTGGAAAATCCTTTAGCCAAAGCTCTGCCCTCCTTCAGCATCGAAGAGTTCATACTGGAGAAAGGCCTTATGAATGCAGCGAATGTGGGAAATTATTCACCTACAGTTCCAGTCTCCAAAAGCACCAGAGAGTTCATACTGGATCGAGGCCTTATGAATGCAGTGAATGTGGGAAATCCTTTACTCAGAACTCCAGCCTCATTAAACATAGGAGAGTTCATACTGGTGAAAGACCTTATGAATGCACCGAGTGTGGAAAGTCCTTTAGCCATAACTCCAGTCTCATTAAACACTTGAGAATTCATAGTCGATAAAGGCCTTATGAGAGGCCAGTATGGAACATCCTTTAGTCAAAGTTCCAACTGCATTTCATACTGGAAAATTGACTTTAGAAAAGTCCTCCTAAGTGTAGTGAATGTGAAAAAACATTGAGCTGAAGGCCTTATCTAACTGTACACCGCCGCATTCTCACAGGAATTACACCTTGACGTGTAAGGATGTGGTGTTTTCTTGTTTAGTATGACAACTTTGGAGGGGTTACCATCTTCCTGAATAGATCCTCATATGTCCAAACATCCATACAGATTCCAGGTATGTGGGAACTGCGTTGCACTTTTTAACCTGCTCTGGGCTCTTGCTGGATTTATATCCCTGCAGATTCTGTAGCAGAAATTGGCCTGTACCTCTTGCAGTTGCCCACAGTGTGCACTGTTCACCCATACCAGTGTGTTCAGGTAAGTGAACCTGTGTTCTCCCATTTGTGGGGGAAATTTTTTAAGTAGCCTGAACATTTGCTCCCTTTTTGTTTCTTCTGATGAGATAGGGCATGGACCAGATTCATTTTGGGCAGAAGGACTCTGCTGGTGACTTGAAATGATAGACTGCCTTTTTAGGGGACATTACTGGTCTTACATGATTCTTGATGGAAATTTTCAGCCTCAGAAGTCACCAACCATGGGAACTGCCTTTCTTCCAGTGCTTTTGTTTGTTCCATAAAGTGGTTACAGCTAACTTTGCCATTTATCTTGGGAATTTTATTCATTGAATGTGGTTCTGCTAACATAAAGGGGTGACCAGGTTTTGTTGGAATCCCAGATGTGTCCCTCAGAGGGGTTGAAATGATGATAAAATATACTTCTCTTTCTAATTTGGATCTGGTTTGTATGGCTGCCTGAGGCCCCCAAGAAAAACCTGCAAGGCATTGTCCTCATTTGTATCCTAGATGCTATAATATGTTGTGGGCTCAGAGGTCAATCTGAGGAGGCGTATTGACAATCTTGGGCTTCCAAGGGGAGCATAAAGCATGAAATTACTCTCTTATTCTCAGGTGATAGTGTATCATACTCAGTCCTGGTTTGGGAGTCATGTTCCCTAGGGCCTTCTGTGAGCATGTTTGGCTCAATATCCTGATTTCCTTAGGGTACCGTGATTATACAGGGATTATATTTATTTCAGGAATCTGCATTAATGAGGAATGGGAGAGATGGCCACAAATTGTTTGTAAGGTGCCCCTTCTAGATGAGGCCTGCATGGTGTTCCAGCCGAAGATGAGAAGATTTAGAATGTCTCAGTACCTCTAGTCCTATTGTGTAGCTGAGGTTTTCCAAGAAGATGATGTAAAGGTTTTATGGAATGCAGTGGCCTCTGGACTATTCATCTCAAGGTTATTACTACGCAGCCAGGAATACAATAGAAAGAATGGAGATCTTAGTCCATTCTTGTGGCCTCTGTGAGCAGCCACCTCTCCTGCTGAGTCAGGTGGAAATGGCCTTTGCTGCTCACCTGAGTTTTCTATCACTGAAGAAAGGGGCCATCCTCTAGGTTACAGGAAGAAAGCTGGTGGAATCTACATAGAGCTCTCAAATCTGATTTTCCAAAAGCCGAAAGAGAGCTGGGGATTTAGCTCAATGGTTCTGCTGCCTGCCTTGCAAGCACAAGGACCCGAGTTTGATCACCGGTACCAAAAAACAAAACAAAAAAACAAACCAAAAACAGAAAGAAATTCAGACTTTCATTTTGAACTATATTTATAAATCCTTAGTAATATAGATCATATGCTATTAATGGCAGGTATTTATACATGGTGAGTTTTGACTTTCATATAAACCCATTAATCTATTCTTATAACCATCATACATCAATCCATCACCTACATATTTATCTTGCGCTCTTTAACATTGCTCCCTTTGCCTTCCAGACAGCCATTAATTTACCTCCAGTAGAAGTAAATTTGTTTTTATTTTTCAGAATTGTATATTATTGAAATCATGAAGTTGTTACTCTCTTTTCCCGTGGATACATTCAAACAGCCTATTTATCTTGAGATTCATCAGTCATGCTTATATGAATAGTTCTTTTTTATTGCTGAGACATCTGATGTTCTATGGATAAAGCACATTATTTCTCAGCCTTTTGGGTAAGATCATGTGTTATATGGATAAAACACTTTTTTTTTAATCATGTGGTCATGGATATTTTGTCTACACTTTGTTTTGTTTTGTTTTTTGTTTTTTGAGACAGGGTCTCACTATGTAGTTGAGACTGACCTGGAACTCACATTGTAGCCCAAGCTGGTCTCGAACTCACAGAGATCCTCCTGCCTCAGTTACAGAGTGCTGGGATTACAGGTATGCGCCACCACGCCCAGCGACTTTTTGTTATTGTAAAAAAAACCACTGCAGTAATTTGAATATAATTCTTCACTTCAATATGGTTCATTTATCTTATGTTAACAATGCAGTGCCTGAGTCACAGTCTAGGTGGATGTATAACTTATTAAGAAAGTCCAAATTGGGTTTTCTCTAGATTCTTATGAGCAGTGTATAAAATTTCCAGCTCTTCCATCTTTGCCAGTGATGAACAATTAGTTTTTTTTGTTTTTTTGTACAGGGGATCAAACTCAGGACTTTGAACTTGCGAGGTAGGTGGTGGCACCACTGAGCTAAATCCTGAGCGCATAGTTAGATTTTTAGCATTAATTTATTCAGTAAATGTGCACCAGTATCACTCTGGGTCTCAGTTGCATTTCCCTGATTTTTCTTATGTTGAACATTTCTTTCATATATGTATACCCCACCTCGATGTGTCCTTTAGTAAAATGTCTGGTCATATCATTTATATATATGTAAAAGTGAATGTTAGCTCCATCCTTTTTCATTAATGGATAACTAGATAGCAAAACAAGTACTTATACCTGAACTTCATGCTTTAATGATGTGACTTGCAGAACAGAATAATTGTTTTTGAATACCTGAGCTCAGGAGCATAGAAAACAATAAAATATAGAGAGATGATTAGGAAGTAAGAAGGTTTTATGTTTGTTTTTAAAATAGTTTGGGGCATAACTGACTTAAACCCCCTGTGCTTAAAACATTTATTTTTATGTTTTGGTACATAGGCACGCCCTCAAATCAAGTTTCTCCTTTTTAGTTCCTCCTTCTGAACATAAAATTTATTGGTACACTGACATGTTTTGTCTTTTGTTAGCTTTATTTTCAGCATGTACAGACAGTGGAAATGGTGGAGAGTGGTGGGAAGGCATCGTAGTGTAAGGGAATAGTGAAGTAAGGATCACAGCTGGGAGAAGGCTCGGTGGGAGGCAAGAGACCTTTCCCCAGGAATACAGAAATCTTCCCCAGTCCTTTAGGTAAGGGCACCACCAGCAGCTCCCCATCTTCCAGGGTGATGATCCTCTACCTGCAGCTGCAGTGCAGGGGCCTTGCTTTGGCCCCTGCTCCTGCACACCCTCGAGAAGCTCCCGAGGCAGCCCCACTAATCCCTTTTCCGCACTGCTGGAAACCAGCTGAGGTGGAATTGGGTTGCTTTTTGTGGAGGTCTCCAGGGAGAAAAACATCATAGAGAATCAGTTCCAGGCCCAAATGGCCAGGCCTTCAGGGAATCTGAGGTGCATATACAATATATTTATTATAACCAAATCCATTAATGGATTATCATTTACAGATTTTAGGAAGTAAAGAATATTTGAATGTATACTTAGCACATGCCTTTAGTATTTTAATTTACTTATAAAGAACAGATATTTCATGGTAAGGTATCTAACTTGTTGATAAAACCTAAGGCATCAGACAAACACAAATTAATGTCCCAGCCTCCCCTCCACCCCAAGCAAAATTATTCAACCAACCATTGTTAAGGTCTCAAGTACTTAAAACATAATCCTGATTGGTTCACACAGGCAAAATGCATGTTGACAGTTCTGAAATCACCTTTATCTTTTAAACACTTGCTAAAGTCATGTGAACTAAAAGGCACTTGGGTGTGTTTTCTTAATGAGTGGTCTTTTAGATTAATTTCATGCTATATAAACAATTCTTTTAAAAAAGTACAGATACAACATATACACATGTATATGAATATACTTAAAGATTAAGTTTTATAATTACCAGTTATTAAAAAGCTATACTAGTTCCTTTATTTTTCTTTTACAGAAAACTCAGTCCCAATTAGCATGTCTTAAAGTAGGATTTCTGGTGTAGCAAAGTGAGCAATTTACTTCTCAGATGAGGTTCATTGGTCATTCTGTCTGCTTAAATTTTTTCACCTTTAATTTATCATGGGTTTTAGTTAACTTAAAAAGCTCTTGCCCCTGGGTTTTAAATTATTTACCATTGTATTGCAGTTTAGACATAGCTGGTCAGAAGTTCACACATTTTATCCTGGCTCTATTACTCTAGGCCTCTTAATGTTGAAAAATAAACCAGTTTAGGAGTGTCATGTTCCTCCACAGAGAGAAACATAAAAGCAAGCTATCTATAGTCAAATTTCCTCATTTTTCTAATCAAGTAATAAAGGGCACAGGAGAATGGAAAAAAGAAAACTGCTACAAATAGAAATTTTGACAATGATTTTGAAACCAATGAGAGCTTATTTAATACCCAAACCAGTTTAGAATGAACCAAGGACTCTCAGCCAGATGAAGGGAAATATAAATTGGAGGCAGGACAGTGTCATCTGAGGAATTGTACAATCAGTGGGCCTAAAAGGCTCTGCTGGTACTTGGTACTGACCTGGATAACAGCAAATTAGTTGTGGATAGTATCCTGGCCAAAGTTACTCCAAAGAATCTTGAACACATTTACATTAAATCAGAGTGCACTTTGAATTATATAGGCTCTGCGGTATCACAATAATATCACCCTTTTCTAAGTAACAGGTGACTCTGACTTTGGGCTCTTGTCTGCATATTCTGTCCCTTCATTTGGGTTTAAGATAGGAAGGGAGGTTGTTTACACCATCTGGAGAAGCAGATTGTCTCTAAAAGAGAACTTGTAAAGATTAAACCCCATACATTTAAAACATTTATTTCTATGTTGTGATACTTAGGCATGCCCTAAAACCAAAATCTTCTCCTGTCTTTAGTTCCTCCTCTTCAGCATTAGATTTATTGGTACACTAACATGTTCTATCTTTTGTTAACTTTATTTTCAACATGTACTGTCACTGGAAATGGTGGAGAGGTGGAGTGGAAAAGCCTCACAGGGTAGCCCCATTGTAATGATGCACTCAGCAGAAGACGCTGCAGCAGTTGGCTGTAACACAAGCAGTTTTCTTTCCTAAGCAAATCATAACAGAGTCTTCAAACACACCCAGAATCTCTAGCTTCTGTCTTTCATGCACAACACAGAATCCAAACTTGGCACACAGAACAGTTGAACATTAAACTCCAAATGAGCTCCCAACAGAAACCCCAGAACAGCTCAAAAATCTGCAAAATTGCTCACACAGCCCCACATGACAAGAAAACAGAAGGTTGAGAGCTGGTATGTATAATAAATTTAAACTTCTTGAAAGTCAGGTCCTTTACAACTCAGAGATAGGTGAATTACAGGCCAAACACTGGGAGATTTAGGGTTAGGCACTGTAAGTGTGGCCCTAAAACCTTTCTCAAGGAGGAGCAGAGTGCTGGGGATTCCTTTCTTGTGGTCAGGTCCAGTGCTGGCCATGGGATTTGTGCCGGAGTGTGTCTGTTTTTCCTGTTTTTATATATTTTTTCTCAGCTGCCTGGTACATGAGATCTTAACTTATTTCTAGTTTTCTGTCAGTGGGGCTTAATCTGTATTTTGTGATGTGGTGCTTTATGTTAGGAGGAAAGTCGGGATCTGCCTGTTCTGCCACATGAGTGATTTTACCTGATCCCATCACCAGTTAAAATACCCTCCCCCATGTCTTCCTCGACGTTACTCATGATGAGTAGATTTCATCTATGGAAAGACACATAAATGCTTTTAAAATCTCATTGGATGGGACAGTGTCAGTTACTATGAACAACCATTACCGTAGTAAGCCTTTAGAGAATCAATCCTCAGTTTCTTAAGAAAGAAAAAAATCACAAAACTACATAATTGTAAGACTATTCTGTTTTTTGGTTTTTTGTTTGTTTTTTTTTTGGTACCGGGGATTGAACTCGGGTCCTTGAGCTTGCAAGGCAGGCCACCGAACCGCTGAGCTAAGTCCCCAGCCCTGTAAGACTATTCTTATAGGGAACCTGAAACAGAATTTTCAGAAATCTTCCAGAAGTAGCTGAACTTTGGAAGTCAATAGCTGACCCAAGTCACTTAAAAGAAATGAAGGCAATAAATAATAGTTATGTTTTCTCCAAAAGCCATCAAGCTGAGATCCCTGTCTGTGGCTGGAGATGTAGTTCAGTGGTAGAAAGTGACCATGCCCTGGGTTCCACAACCAGCATGGGCAAAGAACATAGACTCTTGTCTGAATACTATTCTACTGTGCTTCCTTATATCTATAATACTTTAGTCATTGCTGTTCCTATTTTCTACAGACCCCTAGTTTTACCCATAACAATGACCCTTTTACTCATTTTCTAACTTACTACTGTTATAAACAGCACATGTGGAACCACTCGCTAGTGAGGCTTTTGTGAGGAGAAAGTATTCCACAGAATAGAGACTAAAATCAGGGATAGAGTAC